CCCCTCTGTACGTTGGTTTTTCTGTAACTCTTGTGGAAACTGTCTCCACTGCACGGCTGCCTCAGAGCAGGCAGCACGCGTGCACACACACATGTGCTTCACACACACACGCACGTGAGCACACACATCCATGCACACACATGTGCTGTACACACACACATCCATGCACACACACACACATGCTGCATCGCCACCCAGCACACGACCATAGCAGAATCTGGACCCTGCCCCAGGGCCAGCTGACTCTGCAGCCCCAGGGCCCAGGACCAAGTCAGCGAAAGGCCCCCGAGTGGGAGGAGTGGCCGCTGCAGTGGCCCATTGCCAGGACCAGGCCCCTGGGCTGTGAAGACAAAACTCAGGGTAGGGTCAGGCTGTTCGGGAACGCAGCCCCAAGCACGTGGACTCCTGCTGCAGTCGGACAGCGTCCGCTCTAAAATGCATGTTGAAACATCGCACCCATGTGGCAGTATTCCGAGGGGGTCCTCTGGGGCGTGATTAAGTCACAAGGGCTCCCCTTTCTCTGTGCCTGATGAGAGGGCTGGAGGAAGCAGCATGGGGTCCTCGAGCCCCCTGCCGTCCACACATGCGGATGCAGCAACAAGGCGCAGTCGGGGCGGCAAAGCAGCTCCCGCCAGACCCTGAGCCTGCCGGCGCCGTGGCCTTAGACTTCCCAGTCTCCAGAACTGTGGGGAACAAAGTTCTGTTTTGTTTGTTTGTTTGTTTCGTTTTTTTTGAGACGGAGTCTCACTCACTTTGTCGCCCAGGCTGGAGTGCGGTGGTGCAATCGCCAATCTCAACTCACTGCAACCTCCACCTCCTGGCTTCTAGCGATTCTCCAGCCTCAGCCTCCCAAGTAGCCGGGATTATAGGCGTGCACCACCACGCCCAGCTAATTTTTGTATTTTTAGTAGAGGTGGGGTATTCCCATGTTGGCCAGGCTGGTCTCCAACTCCTGACCTCAGGTGATTTGCCTGCCTCAGTCTCCCAAAGTGCTGGGATTACAGGTGTTGAGCCACTGCATCCGGCCAAAAGTTCCGTTTTTCATAAATCATCCAGTCTCAGGCATTTTGTCACAGCAGCCCCAACAGACTAAGATGACTCAACCAAGGCTCAATGCTAGCATGACACCCACGGTCCCCAAGTCCCAGAGAAAAAGGACTTTGAAGCAACTGTCCCTTGGGCGGCTGCATCTGCTCCTGTGTCGAGCCTCCAGCCTGCCCTGCAAATTCCAAGCATGCCCAGGAGCCTCCAAACAGCTCAAGCCACCGCCTTGCAACATCTCTTCACACATGCACGCACATATGCACACACACACACGCACACACATGCACACGGACACACACACGCACACACCCATACATGCACACACACACGTACACACACTTGCACGCACACGTGCACACATGCACGCACGCACACACACGCACACATGCACACACACACATGCACACACACGCGCACATATCTGCTGGTCTCTGGAGGCCCCTGACTGGTACAGACGGTTCAGTCACTGCTGGGGACAAATGACACAATGGTGCCACTCAGGCAGCCCATCTCCCATTCCCACCGTGAGTGGCACATCTGCCCCGCACAGGCCCCAGAGGGCCTCCTTACCGCCAAGGCTTCCTCCTGGCTGTGGATCTTACGGCCACTCAGTAACCTGGAAGACAGGCAGGGGCAGGAACGCAAGGACAGGTGAGCCTCTCTTCTCCAGGTTGTGTGTTGACATTCCCCAAACTACAGCGGCTCTGGAAAGCCTCATCCCTACAGGCTCTTCGTCCACTGGCCACCATGGGCCGGGGCCTCTGCAACATGTGCGGTTTGCTTCTAAAGGGGACACTCATATGACAGGAGTCAGGCAAGGCCCAATCATGGCTGCTGTTTATTCGTAACCAAGGTGATGCACAGCAGCCACGGCCCCCACTTAAGACCATGCCATAGCGCAGGGTCTCAGCATGCGTGACTGACGTCCATACAAAGTCACAGAGCTGCTAACGATTAATGCACGCAGGGGCTGCCCATGGCTCAGCGGCCTCGAGCGAGATGCCACCACCAAATCTGGACAGGCCCAGGTCAGGGATCCCAGGCCTCCAAGAGTTCAGGCACCCCCCACCCCTGCGTGAATGGGGGACTCGGAACGTGGCTCAGGGCCAGGTAGAGCTAAGCTATGACAGGCACCAGCCTCCTCAATAGGCAGCTCCACTCTTAATGGCACTGGGGCGCTGGCGGCTTCCCCTTGGCGTCTGATTCTTCAGCTGGGGGGCCATGCACCCAGAGAAAGACCTTTTCAAACTCGGTATCAGACAGGCAGACCCAACACACTCCTCTTCCCCTCACAGGGTGGCAGGTGACCTGGCCGCCTGTGCTGCCCCCACCCTCCCTCC